TGGAATTGACTGGTGAGGTTTCATTGATTAGGTCTGGGGCTCGGTTTCCACCAGCTGGGAAATACCTACATAAGAAAACTCTCTGCAATAAGGAATGTTTCTGAAACTGGCAAAAGTTAAAAGTAATTGCTGTGATCTTCTTTGACTTAATCTACTAGGAATTTGTGTGGATTTACTTCCCTCAGCACAGCAGTCTTGTCTCAATAATGCTGGCATGAACATATGGAATGAAGCTGACTTTCAAGAAACAGCCAACAGGTCCATCAGGATGGCAGGCGAGAGCCCCCTCTAAGTACACTCTATCTTTCCTCTACAAGAAAAGAACTCATGTCACTCCAACAGTGAGGGTTGTTTTTTTATTTTTCCTTCATTAAAATTAACTGTACAGCTGGGCTATATTTGTTGTCCATAACAATTTGCACTATGTCATTTTCTTGTTTAGTTAAAACAACTGGCCGTAATAAAATAAGGGCAGGTGAATGCGTTACTATGGTTCCTGTTTACAGTGCAGAGTAACAGGCACAGAAAGAGCACACAGACAGGAAGGTCACACTCCTTGCCAAGGAAATTTATATCTTTTAATTCAGATTTTGGTGTTAGACAAATTGATCTTTCTGATCATCCTTTGCTGGACATGCAAGTTAAATTATGTGACTGTATTTTTTGCTTTCCTTTTTCTAAATGTTATGTGTCTAATCCCAGAAAGAAGAGCATTCTGAAGTCGAGGGATGCGGCAGATACAACCTTACTCAAACTTCCTTAGAAATGAAAAATCTGTCTGGCTTGTGGTTTTGACTGCTACCTGCGATGCAGAGAGAAGAAAAGCACCAAGTGTTCTTACAGTCGCTAACTCATCATTAGTGCATTCTGCGTCTGCTTTCGGTCAGATAGTAAGTAAAATAATGTTTTTGTAGTAAGAGGTTTATTTCCTCAGGAAGTGCAAGTTCACTGTGTGACGGTGGTTTGCTAGAGGAATGCTTCCACTCCCCGGCTGCCTTGTCCCACCTATCCCAGGTAGGGCCAGGAGAACACACCTGCCTCCAGAGACACTAGGCGCAATCCCTTCACAATCCCTCCACCTGAGCGGCTGTTGTTAGTATAAGGAGTACTGCAGGTGCTAGAAGAGATCAGCAATAAGAAGATGCTTTACTGGTAAACATAAAAATGAAGGGTCTTGTTTCCTCACTCTGTCCAAAACAGCCTTCATGGTAGCAGGCGTGCATTTCTCGGACGTACTTAATCTTATGCAGCACACATTTGGACTGCAATGCTGCAGCAGGCAGAACCCAAGCCATGGAAAAATACTTTTTTCCCCCTTCTCTTATTCACACAGATTGTTACTGATTTTGTCTGAGTCATTCACACTGGAAGGGATCACTCAAGCCAAAGGAAGGAAGCAAAAGAAACCTTTTTTTAACAAGATACCATGCAGAAATAACAAGTGTTTGACTTTTGGCATAAGATAGTTATATCACATAATATAAATGTAATATAAATATATTAGCAAAATATAATATAAACAAAGTGTCTCTTCAATTTTAGCATACGATTTCTACCAATAAACTTTGGCCTGAGGAAAGGAACACCGTAAAGAAATCTCATTCTTTCTCACTTCTGCTTGAACATTCTGATAGCCAAGGATACACGAAAATTCCCGTTGTTATAAACGGTATTTCATTTTTGTTTTCCCCAGGCTGAAGATATTGCACATCCTTTCGTTATCGATCTACCTTATCAGCACTACCTCAGTCATATTGGATGGAGTCAAAGAGACTTCTGAAGAAAAACTGTTATCTAAATGAGGACAAGGAACAAAAGGTTCTCACTTTCCTTCTGACTTCACTTCATTTTCTTTCTTACCAAGGAAAAGTTAAAAAAAAAGCCTTTCTCCCTGAAAAAATTCACAGACACTTCAGCAAGGAGACAAAATGGTCTGCTGTGGCACTTGCCAAGAACAAGCAATTACCTAGCATTATCTTCTGCCAGAATGGATAACACAGATCAGGATGGACTTTCTGATCTCTAATTGTCTCTGTAATAAAGATCATGTGAAAATGTTGATAAAAAAGGCCCAGATATATTTTGTTGTTAACAATCTTGAAGGCTACAGGCAAAAGTGAAATGATTAGCAAAAGAAATTTGATGGTTCTGCATTCACCTTCCAAGCATTTATTGGCTAAACTTACATAGTGACCCTGTCACCTCTAAGTCATTCTGTGACTTACAGAACATTTCATGCCCCTCTATCTCTTTATTTAAGTGAATTTATGGAGTATCCATGAATGTATATGAATGTCTTTTTTTAAAAAACACTTTATGTACAAATGTGCTGAAATCAGCTGCTCAAGAATATGGTCCATTTGGTTTTCTCCGCAAGCTTCCCAAGAGTCATACCATCAATCAAGTTTGTTTCCCAGAACAGTTTAGCCAGTTTGTCCTGATCTAGTAAGATGGAGACACAGCCCAGAAATAAGCTAAAATTCCCATTGTCTCTGCAGATATACAGAAGCTAGCTAGTGCTAGGATATGTGCATTCAACTAACTCAAAGACTGTTGATCAGCTGTGCCTTGCAAATATTGCAAAGCATAAATAACACACTGCAAATGTACGGTATATATGCATTTTGGCAGGTGAACATGAGATTGTAAGTCTTCCATTCTTCGTCAGCTCTGTGCTGGGACCACAAAGGACTGGTATAAAGGATGCAAGGATGCAATAAAAACTTCTCCTATTTCTACAAATGTCTCTATCATGGCCATGAGCAATTGGCCAACACCAAAGGGGAGAGCTAATTAAAATCAAAATGGAAAGATGAAAGAAGTTAAATTTAAAGTTTGGGCAGAGAATAAGACTAAAGCATTGAATTTTAATTAAAGAGACATTAGAATAACTTTTTTCACCCTCATTCTTTTACTTTAGGGAAAACAAGGGTTAATTCTTTAAACCATTATTACTGTTGCTCTTATAGTTTCATTAGGATTAACAGAGGTGTGAAATGCAGAGGGTGGATGAAAGGGAATTCTTGGAGGAAACTGTATCAAGGAATATTCTAATTAGATACAAGGCAAGAAAAATCCCCACCATTAGGGTGAAAGGCTGAACTGGAAATGCTCAACTAACCAAACGAGTCTAACTTTATTTGGGCCTTGTTTGAGTTGGGACGACTGCTTCAAATGTCCTTCAGAGGTCCTTTCCAACCTGAGTCAGTCTATGGTTATATGTGTGTGGCCTGACAGCAGAGAGTCTTGCATACATATGAAGATCACTAAAGCCAACTGACTTAGAAGGAAATCTGAGAAGAGACAACATGTTTAGACAGATTAGTTTTGGTACGAAACTAAAAACTCATTTTGGAGGAATTACTTCATCTGAGAGCTGTAAAAGCCCTCCATTTCCTCCTCTCCAGAGTTCTAACAATCTATAAAGAAAAATCTTTTGCGTAAACTTAGTCTTCATTAATAAAGGGAGAAAGGTATATAAAAAGAGTAAAATAGAATAAAATCAATTCTGCAACAAGAAAAAAATAGGTTATGCAACAATGCACTTTGGCAAACTTAACTTTGTATTTGATGCTGTAGATATAGAAAGTTAAGAGGGATCTTAAGAGCTGAGACTTTGTTGTGTAATGGTGCAAAATCACTTTCAAAGTATTAACAGCAAGCAGAAATCTTAGATGACTTGTAATAAAACTAGTTCTTGAAGGAGAGCAAAGGCCAAGCTGAGTTGAATTAGAGTGTAGCACCATTTCTCTAGTGGTTCAGAAAATGCCTTCCCTGCAGATTAATTTCTGCAATTGGAAGAATTCTTTTGAACATGACCATTGAAAGGGTTGTCTGCCTGATTACAGAAACAGAAACAGCTGGTCAGACTCCACAAATTAAGGTCTTCAGGTTAGAGAGGAATCTTACAAGTTGCCCTAAGATGCGTCTAGCACAAATCCTACAGCTGATAAAAGACTGGCATAATCATGTCTGAGCAATTTTCCTAGCCCTTGGCAGTACAGTGGGCAGATCAGATCAGAGGTGATGCTTCAGGGCCAAATGAGATTTAACTGAAAAGCTGCAACATCATCCCTCTAAAGTCAACATTAATTATGAGACTAATAATGAATGCCATTTCTGCTGTCTTTTTCTACAGTGATAATTTTTGTCAAAACATACCTCTGAAACTGTAGTCAGACCCATTTCAGCAAACGCTGCCTCTGACGCAAGACATACATAACTCCGCATCCCAGGCTGACTCAGACCCTACTGATCCTCACTAGGGAGCCAAGTAACTGATTTTGTGTGGTTTCTGCTCTAGTTCAGAATATTAAATAAGATTGGGCATGTTTTGGACAGGCAGAAAAACATGGGCTGCATCATTAAGCTGTGAATGTTTAACAAATGCAATTTGTACTCCATTGCTATACCCACTCTTTTGCCTTTTGCACTACTTACTGCAGTTAAGTTTGTCCTGAGAGTAGAGATTTGCCCCCAAGGAAGAAACCAACAATATAGAGGAAACCATAAAAAGTTATCTGTTAGAGACTCACCCATCATTTGTAAGATGTAAAGGCAGCTTAAAGAAACTCTGATTAACTGATAACTTTGCAGCTGGTTAGGCTGAACGCTGTGTGGGGCAGGGGTCATACCTTTTCACTCTGTGGGAAGCATCTGACACACACCTATTGTTACATGAATAAAAATAATGAACCATCACAGTGGCAACCAACCTGATATTCCCAGATGCTTCTTAAACAGGTGATTAGGGTATATCAGAGAGGGGAATTATTTAAACCAAACCAAAACCCTCGACACTCTGCCTTTTGTAATCGATTTTCTTGTGACCACGGTGTCTTTTCCTCGCACACACCAACTAGCACTATCACTGGTAGGACCACTGGAGGATGAGTGTGGTAGGGTACTACTCAGCAAGAGAAAAGGTCGTAACCTCCTGTCCCAAACCCATTTAACCTAACAGAAAAAAGACTTCAGTGTGCATTATGTGGGTTACTCACGGCTCAGCTTCGATGCTCTGGTCAGCAGCTATGTAGTTGGCGGGGATGTAGCCCTGGAGCTTGCGGCCAGGACTGACTGACCCTGATGGCAGGAGGAGCCTAGCATACCACCAGCCCTCGTGGGACGCATCCAGCACTTCAAGCTTATCCCCAGCTCGGAAGCTCAAGTCCTCCTCAGTGCGAGCCTCGTAGTCAAAGAGTGCCACAAATCTGCAAGTATTCACCAGATGCTGGCCAGGCAGCGGAGGTAAAGGTTTCTCTTTTATCTTACTGGCTCTGTCTTTCTGTCCTGCTTGGAAGTCATGCCTTATCACAGCAAGGTTGGCGAAGACTTGGCCACCTTTCTCATCCTGCTCACCGTCTCTCCCTGAGAATAAGCACGGGATGTAGGGCTCCAAACAGGCGCAGTGCTTCTGACAGAAGTTTCCCATTCTGTTTCCTTGTGCCTTCCTCTGCTTCGGCTTTTCTTTGTCTTTTCACAGTTGTGATAGCCTTAGGCCAATTTTTGCACCATCAACATTTTAGTTTTTTGCAGGATTTCTTCTCCCCCTCCTCCTTTGGCATAAAATGAAACAACTCTTGGCACAGCTGGAAGCTCCTCTCTGAGCCCCACTGAGAGCTCATTACAGGCGCTCCTGGATCATGAGTGAAACCTGAGCATCCGAGTGCCAGAGCACACGGGGAGGGAATTTCTCACTTCCTCTTCGGAAGAGGAAAGCAACAGAACAGCTGTGCTGGGCTGAGCTCCGGGAACAAGGAGGGAGCGTGGAGCCTCTTCTCCCACAGCAAAACAATAAAGTCAGAAAATCGAAGCAAGGGAGGCTTCTCAACTCTTATTGCTCGGGATGGATGTTTTCTTATCTCAGATGGGCTCCTGTCATACGATCAGCAGTGAACGTCTGTAAAGTCTCTGGGTAATGATTAACCAAGCTGACCTGCCTGTTCCCTTAGCAGTCTCCAACGTGGACAGCTTAAATATTTCTTGTTGTTTCCTGGTTTGTGCTGCTTTCGGTTCCCAGTAGGAAGCCTTCGCTCGCCGGAGGCTGGCAGACACCCTCACCTGGAGTGCACCTGCGGATCCTGCTCTTGCTCACGCCCCGGTGCTTTCCCCTGCCGAGTGCCCGCCTTGCTAACCCATCCTCCGCCTTTTTTTTTTATTGAGCTGGTTTTGGCACTTCTTACAAGGGAAAATAAATATATGGGCCTTACAGTAATACAGCAATAGATTTTAATGCATTCCTTATTCTGTGTTTTAAGGAAACAAAGGCACTAGCCAAAAAAATTGCTCCAGGTGGCTGGCTAATTATGTCAACCACATACAAAAATAATGGCTGTCTTCCAGTCACCATGTAAGCCAATGAAACTACACGGACTGGCATATTTCCAATTCTAAAGCACCTATAACCTGGCATACAGACCAAGCACAGGTGTCTGGATGCTGCTGTGGCAAAGCCAGCTGAAGAGCCGACTGCCCCATCCCAGCAGTGCAGCCCAAGCGCCCAAACAGCTGGGCATCGCCCCAGCCTGGGGGACCGGCAATGCCGGGAGCAGGAGCAGGAAGAATCGGAGAGGGCCTGGCTGCACCGTGTGGTGGCATTCCAGTAAGAGGCAAACTCTTACAGATAAGAGGTCACTGAAAACCCACGCATGGACCTTTAGCTTCCTGCAGATAAAGAAAACTTACACCCTTTTTTTTTTTTTTGTCAGGAATATGTGCTGTTCTCCTAAACCATGCACACACGTCTCAGCTCCATTTAGAGTTGCTGACTTCTGTTGCTTTACTTTACTAGAAAGAGGACTCAAATAAATTACTTAGAAACCAAAGCCATTTGTTTTCATTGTGTCTGTCAGTCAGTCCTTTGAATGAGGAGACCAGTGGCACAGGCAGAAGCCTTACTGATGGACTAGGGGCTGTGGGATGACTGAAAGAAGTCTCCACTGAAAATTTATCACTATGAGGTGCATCTCCACTGAAGAGGGATGGGGAACTGCTTACTCACTGCTCTTCTGCAATGCTGCAAAAGAAACTGAATAAAGTGTCATGCACATTAAGTGAACGCTACACCTCATAATCTGTGGTGAACCTTTTTGGGTCTGATAATAAAATGGCATACTGATTTTTCAGATTATGAAAATTGTATTTAGTTTCTGAAGCACCACTGGAGATGATTTTTCCCCACAGCAATTATTAATCACTACTCAGATCAATAAGAACACAGATATCTAAGAGATATTTACTTTTCTTAGGTCTGATGGACAATATCCAAAGTCAGGAAAGGCCTGTGTTGAAAAAGAAACTCTCTCCATTAGTCTCATCTAAAGAATTATCTACATTCACTGAAACCAGAGAATATTAGAAAAAATACATTAAATAATGTGGGTTTTTTCAGTTTGCATATTTGATTGGCTTTTCCTGTAATGTTTTGTGGTTTTGGCAACTTGGGCATTACTCTGGCAAAGATTTGCACACATGTTGACTGCACAGAATAGTTTCATCATGACAATGGAGCCACTTGCAGCGTACAGAATCAGTCTTAGCACAGCTCTTTTCAGGATCAAGACCCATTTTTCTGCTCAGGTACCAATACACATATACATTAGAAATCACACTGTATTCACTGAGATCACTCAGATAAATATTTATAACTAGCTAGAATGAATCTTAAGCCTACAAACATTTGTGTATGTGAATATCTTATCTCAAATAAACCCAGGCATGAAATTCATCTCTCTCCCAATTTATGTCCCTGCTTGGCTTTACAAGACCAGAAAGACTTTTGCTGGAAGTGATCAATAACTATAAATCAGATTACTTTCCTCCCAACCCACTCTTCAGGATCAGTTTTACTTACGAAACAAGACGACTTTAACAAATAGCCATGAAATTCATTGGTCGGATTCAAAACTCTCCTCAAAAAGAGAGAGTAGCAGGGTTGCTGAGAACTGCTGAGCAGATTCCAGCGCTGGTGTGGGGCAGGACCACGGCTGAGCTGTGGTGGCCACGCTGCAAGCGTCCTTGTTCCCATCCTGGGCACTTTACTGAGAATTCTCTGCATTTCTGAAAATAAAGCAGTACTCTTTATGTTTTAGAAACTATACAATTTTATCACAGGCAAGAAAAAAATGAACATGCAATAAAAATGTTCTTGTCAGTTTTACTGAAAAAAATAAAATCTGGTAAATCCCATAATCCTAATCTTCATGCTCACAGTTTGGAACAAATGAGGATAATCATGTATATTCAGGAGCTTTTCAATATAAACTACTGTCCGAGCCCTCTGCACTGGTATTACATATATTTTAACAAGATAATCTTTGGAGCACCTATTTCTGGGCTTAATTGAGCTCTTTTGCCTTGCATTCCACTATATTTTCTTTTTGCAAAAGGAGGCCTAACAGATCTGTGTTGCTTACTGGCCTTCTGTATCTTTAATTTGTTTTGGAGGCTTAGTGTCAAACCAGAAATTGTCAAAATAAATAAGTTGCTGGATATAAAATGACTGTGAAAGACTTAATCGGATATATTGATGAATTTTATTAGCAAAAATGCTTTGAGAAGGACACAAGAGTCTCACCTCATTCTTACAGCCAGCAATAGCTAGCAAGAAAAATGAATTTATTATGACTAGAATGGCACATTTACAGTACGGATACTGAAATTTAGTATTCTGGTCCCCATATTATTTAAAAAATCATTAATATTGCACATAGTTTCTTGAAATATGCAACACTTTAAACCAAAAATGGATCATTTACAATCTGTGTCTGACAGAATCACATAAACTTAGATTTTAGAAAAGGAAACAAATCTATTCAATCAAGTAGTACTTTCCCCCTTCAAACTAGGTAATTCCCCATTGCTTTTAAAGTATATTTCCTTGTTCTACAAAGAAAAAAGTCCACACTGATGCTATAGGTTTGAGGATGACAGACATCTGGAGTTACTTTTTATATTCTGTATGTTGCTTACAAAGTCCTATATAAGTAAGACTCTTGCAAGGAGCCTTACCTCTGCTTAAAGGATTAATTTGCAGTCCTCTAAATCCATTAAATCAAATTCTAATTAACTTAAAGTCAATATTCTTTAGGCCTTGTTTATTCTACAAAACAATCATGTTTAAACGTGGTGGTGAAACATATTTCTCTTAGTCGCCTGAATGGACAGAAAAATAATACGTTAATATTGTATGTTTTAGTAAGCCTAGTACAAACCTACTCTTGGAATGAGGTACTGCTCTGCATGAATTAAGGTACCAGACTGAGTCGTGTTAAATAAGTACAGATAAGATTTGAATCCATAATATGTCAAAAGTCTTGCTTTGACAGAATTTTTATTTGTGTTCCATGCTTTCAGAAACGATTTTGTACGAGTTTTCATTACAGATATTTCCATGTGCTCTGCATGGAACTACTGGTATAATTACCTAAAACCTTAGAGTTTTAGAAAAAATGAACCCATCTCCACCTCACAAATATGCTGCTCCAGATTTCAGAGACAGGGAGTGAACATTACTGAGCATCAGGCTCTGGTACTGATGATACATGATGTTTGAAACAATTCCCCTATGCCATGCAGAGAAGAATTACAGTCAGAACAGTACTCTGCTGGGGAAAAAAAAGAATATTCCAAGGCAATATCCACCAACAGTTTTGTTAAGAAATATGAGTCAGTTCGAACTGGAAATTGAAAGAGAGAGTGGTTTTTCTTGATAATAAGATGAGATCACAACAGAAACAAATATTTTCCTCCACAATTGTTTCGAATTTTGTAAAGAGGAAAAAACTCCATGTGGGAAAATGAGAAATTAAGATATAAAATACAAGAATCATAATAAAATAATGTATGAAAGTGCTGCCTCCAGCATCACTTTCTAAACTACATAATCTTTTTCAAGCCAGTAGTTATACTGCTGCATTAATATATGCTAATTTAAATATTTGACATAATATACCTCCTTAGAAAAACTTCTTAAGGCGTTATGATAAAGCAAGTCAAATGTTCCAGCAAAGTAAAATATTCAAATAATATGATCTTTAAAGAAATTAGAAGAAAAGCAAATGCACACTGCTCTGAATCTGTGCTTGGGAAACAAATTAAAAGATTAAACAATTTAAAGTTGTGTCTTTTTTTAAGGTAACAAATGGAAATAAAGCACAGTGTTTTTTTATTACAGCTGTCTTTTCAGCTATATTTCTTTCCATTTGCACATTAGAATGGAACACATTACCACCACTTTGTAGCTTTTTTTATAATCCTTTTAATCAGCGCTTCCATTTTGTTTCTGTAATTTGCAAATTGCCATTCTTTTCAATGAAAATAAATTATGTGCGTAATTTTACTCTTGACAAAACTGTTTACTTTTATTGATTAATCACTTTCCTGGTTTGGATATTATCTTAAACCATAAATCCACAAAGACATAGAGTTATA